TTACTGAAAATTTCTGCACAATTCCACTGGTTACCAAGTTATTCGTATACGTTCATAAAATAATTTTCCAAATAAATTATGAAGGCATTCCATTAAGTGTTTATCATTCAACAAATATGTTTGTATATTTCCATATAGTGGTATGCTCGTAAGCATGTGTATACATATTTAAAATGTCGTATCTCTCTAATTTTCACTAAACAACTCAACTGTTTTCTGCAACTTCTTTACATATGAAACCTAAAAAGGAGATCATAGATACTCACAAATGCATTTGCCCTACAGCTAAGTGGTGGTAAATGACTTCCGCAAAAGATACTTTTACATATTTGTGTGTTTCGCTCCAAATTACTTTTCCATGTGTGATTACATATGTACATACATATGTTTATGTATGTATTCACATTAAGGTGCCCTAGATTTTTTTTTGCCAAATTCTATATGCTACGTTGTTTTGTGTTGTGCGAAAAACCGTTGCTCAAACATCTAGCACCATGAAAACAGCATCTGTTGAGATTGCCACTGATAGGCACAAAGTCTCATCTATGAGCAGCGGCAGGGCCGAGCATTTCACCAGAGCACAACCTTCTAAAACCACTCATCAATAACGACAGCGAGCGAGGTCTACCAGATAGCCAACCTACAAAATAGCCAATTACCGGTTACACAGGCCATGATCTTCGAGATGTCCTCTCATTTGGGTGGCTGAGCGGTTGTTCTGTTTTTTTCTTATCCATTTGCGGGCGTAGTAGTCTAGCTGTTCTGCAGGTATCCTCATCTAACCGTGATCTATTGGTCACTTGGATAATCTCATAGGTATTACAGACGCTAGCTGGTTTAAGCCGAACGCAAAGCTATATAAAATTCCTAGCCTTGAAGTTGTTGGAGCACGAGATATCCTATTGTGTATTGAGGCGCGAGCTATCAGTCCTAACTAGCGATGGGCACGGGCCCATTCTTTCTCTCTTTTGATAAGAGAAAAGCAAAAAAGGAAAAAATTTGGAAACCGATAGAAAATATATGATACTTAATAGTTTTGTTTACATACATATCTGTACATAAACTACCTTCCACTTTTTCTACTTCCCAGAAAATATATTATAAAAATCTTTGATGTAAAATATTGATTCACCTAAGTAAATATACATATGGACATAAACGCAAAATTAAAAATATGTACATATCGAGCCTTAACTGCCAAAATAACGTAAGCGACATTTATTTCAAAATTTTCTTTTTGATGCAGAAATGTATCTAGATAATCGAGGAATATTTCTGCATCAAAAAGAAAATTTTGAAAAAAATGTCGCTTACGTTATTTTGGCGGTTAGGGCTCGATATGTATACATACAATAAAATTTGGCTCTTTATTTCCGGGCTGGGGCGTGTCCCGCCGTGCCGGGCCGGGCCGGGCAGGGCCCCGCTAAAATTCTTAACGTGCGGGCTTGTGCGTGTTTTTGAAGGCTGATTTTGCCCTCGTGCCGGGCCTGAAAATTTAGGCCCATGCCAATCTCTAGTCCTAACTCTTATAATTCGTTACCCAAAAATTAGAAAAGTTATTAAGCATGCATTTAGAATTTCGTTACAAAATATTATTCACTCTAATATACATACATACAAATCTATTCGCAGTAGCTTAGCATTGAGCAGTGCTAACTATATGTAAGTATATACATGTACGCACACATTTCCGTAGTTCCACGTAAGTATATGTATACTTAATAGTGCACTTAATAACTGTAACGTGGCATAAGAGTTACATATGTACATACATACATATCACACAAATGCATCTATCAAGTGTGTAGAGAGTGAATATATGTATTTTGGAAGGGTTATCAACAAAACTGAGAATTCTCTCCCAGGTTTAAGTGACATAGTTTTGCAGAATTTCTAATGAGAATTAAGTAAATGGAAGCACATATACATATAAATACATTTGTTTTCAATGGTAAAAAAAAAGTTTTTGGTTTTTATAAGATTGTCCTTACCAGCGGTAGAAACGTCGGCCATTTTAGAAATTAAGAAAACAAATTAAAAGCAGTAAAGCAGAAAAAAAATAAGTTATTATTAAAAAATGCTTACAAAGACAATTGAGTATGGTTATTGCAAGTCTCCTAAAGCGAAGCACGAGTTTTCCGATGGAAAGGTATGGATTTCCAAGAATTCCACACCATTTCTACGAAAAAGTGTTTTCCCCAAATAAAATACATGGAAAAATAAATTTCATTTTAATCATAAATAATAAATATAATTTTTTTTTTGATACGGGTATAGTTTTTTTCCATTTAAAAAAAAATCCCCGAACGTATCTTTGGATCGCCCTAATGTGTCGCTTTTTCGTTCACTTGGTTCCTAATTTATCATAAATTACCTCATTTCTAATTAATTTATTCACACAGTTTTCAATGCAAAATTACCTGATTTCAGCATGATATAAATTACGAATGAGCCGTAAAATACGATAGTGTAAACATGCCTTTACGCCTTTATATGGATGTCATGTTCAAATCAGGGCCCGAGTGCAAAAGGTATGATCGAAACAAAATGTGATTCTTGTGGTTTTGTTCCCAAGAACGCTTAAAGACCCAAACCTGAACGAGAACAAAATATTCGTGAGTGCTTTCACAAGAACGAAAGTGAGAACATAATACAGAGAAAGTTCACTACGGGAATTATATAAGAACAAACCCCTGTGAAAGAGAACAAAATGGGAACAAAAGTCTAAGGAATTGTCTCTCGAAGAACAATTTGTTAACTAAAATCTCAGGAACTTTCTGCCAGAGAGCGAAACTGGAAAAAATCTTCTCCGAGATATCTGCGGAAAAAGGAAGCGAGAACCAAATTTGACTCATAGCGTTACATTAGTGAAAGATAATAATGCACATTAGGTCAACGAAAGACTTAAGACACAAACTTTTCTAGTACAGAAAGTGAAAAAATGTTCCAGAAATGGACAGTTCACCCTAATAATAAGCGATCGCGAAGTTGAAATGATACAGCTTCCCTCTGGCCTTGAATTAATTGTCATGCTCTCACTTAAATCAATCCTCATCGCAACACGCAGACGTCTCTCTCATTATTAACGTTAAGTTCCCAAAACTTTTGTTCTCTTTTTTTCTCTAGCTGAACGTTCCCCAGACTTTCGTTCTCATTTTGTTCTCATTGCAAACATTCAAGAAAGTTTCGTTATAATTCTGTTCTTCTTGAGAAGGTTCCCGAGAGTTATGTTCGCATTTAGTTCTTTACGAACACATTTCCGCACATTTTGTTCTGATTTTGTTCCCGGTCAAACTGCTTTCAAAATTTTTGTTACCCTTTGGTTGTTTTGTGGGAACGTTCTTGACATTTTAGAGCTTCACCAAACGGTTTTCTTAACGTGAAGTAATTTAGCGATTAAAAATAAAATGCGGCTTTTTGTGAAAGTAAAAATTCGTGTTCTGTCGCAGAAACGCCGAGAGGGAATACGAAGGCAGATACCATAACCATAACCATTATTAATACCATTTTCATTACCATTACCATTAGTAGTACCATTACCATTTCCAATACCATTAATTATTTACTATTATCTACCATCACCAATGCTAAGAAAAAAAAACAGTTCTCACTACCATTACCATTACCGTTATCATTACCATTACCACTACCATCACTATTACCATTGTTTTTACTATTACCATTATCATTATAACATACGATAGCAAATGCGAATACGAAAACGGATACTAAATAATACAGGGCCTTAAGCTAATAATAAGAGTAATACAAATTTCCGCAGTATGAAACGAATTAAAAAGAGGGAACTCCTTTTTTCGACCATTGACGGCCCTAACATATTGCTGGTCAAATAATAGCTCAGAGAATATACTGGTCATTCAATACAAAGACACTGGACTGATCCTTTTTTAAGCCTTTTTAATCAAATTCTAGGTAGGTCTTTTCAACCAGTATTTTTCTTTAAATTTAAGAGCATTAAACCCCAAATTCGTACCCTAAATACACGCTTCATGCAGCGACTTGCGCGGATTTTCGCCGCTGTATTAAGATAATGATTGCTAATAGCAAAAGTATGGTTCATAATGCTCTAAAAACAATCTGTATGAAAGATGACAATGTTTGGTCAATATCTTAGGCATCGTTTATAGATCACTATGAACCATATTTTTAACCGACTTCCCAAAAAGGAGGAGGTTGTCAGTTCGTCGGAATATTTTTATTTTATTTTTTTTTTTTGTATGTTACCGAATAACTTTGGACCACGTCAACCGATTTCGATAATTCTTTTTGCATCGGAAAGGTAGTGTCTCAGAGGTGAGATATATATATATATATATTTTTTTTTTTTATGTGAGAGTTGAAGCCGTTTTTTTTTTTTTGCTAAAAATTACTTGTTGTTATAACCAATCAATATTATAAAAAAGCGGATTTTCGGTCTACGCTAATGTACATACCGAAAACCAACACATGGATGAAAAAGGATATTTACATGTATATCTGCGTATGATGCTTCAATATGTACATTTGACAGAGTCATATGAAAGTAAACGTTTCTTGGCTCATCTCACTCGATTGCAATTACACACATACACATGCACATATATGTACATACCTAGCTAAACACGCATACCCACACAGAAAATAACCACAACACCGAACTGAACCATGTTAATTACTCGCCTTGAGGCACTTGAAGTAAACCAAACAAAACTTGGTTATATCTATACATGCACATACACATACATATATGCGGATGTATTTATTGCAAGCAAGTCGCCATCAACCGCAATGCTGCAACCGCAATGTCAGTGTAACGAATGCAACCATATTCCGCTACTGCATCTTTAACTGCCTGCCGCTTCACTACGTCTGCGTGTTTTACTTTCTTCTTATTGCAGTTAAAGCAAAAACCAAACAAAATACGTATATATATATATGTATATATTTACATAAATATTGTACATTTACATATACCGCCTTCTTCTCCTCTTCAATTGCAGATTCGCCCCGATGCCGGCCGGGTACCGAGCAAACATCACTTGGTGCGCTCAATATACACTCAGTACAGGTAAAATGTGAAGTGGATGCGGATCCCGCAGACTCAGTGAAATTCAGTTGGACCTACAACAACACAAGAAATGTGTCGCCGGTTAGTATAAGGTTTTAACTTGACATAAGTAAGCTCGTGTATATGTATGTAGTATGTATGAGTCTGTACACATACATACATACTAAGCTTTAGTATTAAATTGTGCTTCTAATCAATAATTGAAATTTATCATCGCATGCGGTGAGGTAAGGCAACGTAGAGAAATGGCTAGCAACATATGTACCAGCTGAGCGCTTTCTTGCTACAGTGCGTGACTATCGGTAAAGTAGAGGGAATCATTAATGTAAATACCATTGTGCATTTTATGCATCTCGGGGTTTACTGTTTACTTTCGAAGACAAATGCTGAGTGGTACAGTGGGATTACTGCAATTTCTAAATCACGGCGCTGCAGTTGTATTTGGTAGAAGGAATTTCTGAATAGAACATCTGCACAGAATTATGTTGCATAAGTAAATTTTTGCTGTAAAATCAGCATCAATTTTGTCGGCAGAATTATCTAGTTTAAGGGCAGGTTATCGATTATGTCACAAAGATTTGATATAATTTGTAGTATATTTGATAGGGCGGCACGGACTGGTTTCTTAATCAATGCACTCACTTTCACAAGAGTTTTGGATATGGGGTTTAGTATGTACTTACATTAGAGCGGGTCGGCCCCCATACGATAGCAAAACGTTAGGGGGTATCCACCATAGTTTAAGGTTTATACAAATTTTCATGCTGAAAACTGCCAAATTTTTGTCCATGGTGCGTAATAAATGCAGCCAAATCGAATTTTCTTCATATTTATTTCATATTTATTACTCTATTGCAAAGTGTGATTTAAAAGATAATGTTGCGTACTGCATATCTTTCTTAGATCCTTTACCATGGAATGCCTCTTTAACCTACTAAGTTCAAATAACGCAATTTCTACCTCATTAAATACAACTTTACTCTTCACGAAATTACACATTCTAGTAAGCCATGTATCGTTTTCCTTGGAAGGATAAATTAATAAACAGAAAATTTGCAGTGGCTTGAGATTTTTCTTGATAAATTCTTCATACGCCATGGCAACCGATTAATGAATAAAGCAGAGATACGGATCGGTGAGGACTTTTTTATTTCAATTAAGTGCAATATTACCAAACTCGTATTTCAAAACTCAACGACGAAAGGCATTCACTTGATTATTGCCCTGTCATATCATGGCATACATATTTACAGGGCAATTCTGGCTAAGGAAGTAAAAAGTCTTTCGTAAAACAAAGACAAGTTCGAAAGACTTTTGTTATTCTAGTATAAAAAACATAAAAAAAAGCTTTCTCACTTACCACTCGTGGTGAAAATCTATTTTGAAAGAAAGCACTTGTATATTGTTTAGCTCGCGTCGCTCCAACAGTTACAATGGCCGAGTGAGAAAAGCCCTTGCGAAAGATATGCGTTCGGAACCTCGGGCAGCGATTTTTTTTTATATACTTTTTATATTTTCTATTTTAATTTTATTTAGTTATTAGATTTTATTGTCTTAAAATGAGAAATATATATCTCTTGTTATATGCATTTAATTATTTAAAAAAAAAAATTTAATATTTCATATTTTAATAATTTTGTTTTTTTTGTTTAAGAAAAATATACGCATATATTTTTTTAATTTCATTAAAATTTTGAGAAACATGTGTATTTGGGTTTTTTGTTCTATTTTTAATTTAAAATTTTTTTGAATTAACATTTAGACTTTGTTTTGATAGAAAAAATTTATTTAATTATTTCATTCAATTTTAGGATCTTTTAATTATTAATATTTTTTCTCTTTTTTTAATTTAATTTTATTTACATTTTTAGATTTTATTTTAAGTTTGTGTTAATTTTACTAATTTTTAAGTGCTATTTTCTCCATTGTTGATTTAGTATTTTTTTCTAATTTAATTTACTTTAAATTTTAGATTTCATTATTTTAAAAAGGATACGTATTATTTTTTTGAGGTCCATTAATTTTTAAAACCATTTTTATTCGTTTTTAATTTATCTTGATTTATTTTTTCTTTTTAATTTAATTTTCATCTAGTTATTAGTTTTTATTGTTTTAAAAAGAACAATATATACATTTTTATACCCGAGCGCACTTGTGCACAAGGGTATTATAACTTTGTTCACATAACGGTTGTTTGTAACAGGCAAAACGAATCGAGATAGATATAGACAAATGTATACATAAATGATCAGAATGAAAAGAGAAATCGATTAAGCGGTGACTGTCTGTCCGTCCGTCCGTCCGTCTGTGCACACGAAATTGAGATATCTTAACGAAACTTGGTACGTGAACTTCTTTTGGGCGTAGGACGGATGGTATTGAAAATGGGCGAAATCGGACAATAACCACGCCTACCTCCCATATAACGGTAATTTTAAGAATTACGAAAACTGCGATATTTTAGTAACTACTGAAGATAATTCACTTAAAATTGATACTTACAATGAGTTTCAGACGGAAAACATGAATATTATAAATTTTTGGAAAATGGGCGTAGCCACGCCCACTTATGGTTACATGTGTATATCTTGGTAGCCGCTGCACCAATTTCTTCCAAACTTGGCACAGTTGTTGGCCTTAGTACAACATACTAAATGGCTGAAAATTTTAAAAATCGGACAATAACCACGCCTACCTCCCATATAACGGTAATTTTCAGAAAAACGAAAACTGCGATATTTTAGTAACTACTGAAGATAATTCACTCAAAATTGATATTTACAATGAGTTTTAGACGAAAAATAAGAATATTACAAAATTTTGGCAAATGGACGTAGCCACGCCCACTTATGGTTACATGTGTATATCTTGGTAACCGCTACACCAATTTCTTCCAAACTTGGCACAGTTGTTGGTCCTGGTACAGCATACCAACTGGCCGAAAATTTCTAAAATCGGACAATAACCACGCCCACATCCCATATAACGGTAATTTCGAGAAATACAAAATCTTCGATAAATCAGTAAATATTGAAGCTAATTTATTCAAAATTGATGATTGCAACAATTCTTTACCAAGAAATACGTTTATGACAAAATTTTGGAAAATGGGCGTAGCACCGCCCACTTGTGATCACATATATGTATCTCGCTAACCGTTCTAGCAATTTATACCAAGCTCGGTATGGTTATTGGGCTTGCCACATAAAAGCAAACCGTTGAAAATTGTTGAAATCGGACTAAAATTGAGGCCGCTTTTCATATAACGGTAAATTTCAGATATGATTGAAATTTCAATATTTCGAAATTTAAGGACGCTAATTTACTTAAAATGTATACACCCCGGCTTATCATGTAGCGGTAGCTTTCGGAAATGTGGAAAACATATCTTTAATACTTGCGCCGGGTATTTAATGTTCGGCTCCGCCCGAACTTAGACTTTCTTACTTGTTTAAATTAATTTAGTCAAAAAAAACTTATTTGTAAAAGATGAACAGCATAAGGCTAAGACCTCCTCATTAGCAGATCTGTCAGTTAGTCTTCCGAAAGGCAGTAAGGAGCCTTCAAGAAAGTATTGCCTTACGAAAGAAGTATTTTTTGAAGAGTAAAGTTGTATTTAATGGGGTAGAAATTGAGTTTTTTGAACTTCGTAAGTAAAGGAGACTTTTTAGGGTAAAAGGATCTATCTGATCTATCTATACAGTACTCAAAATTATCACACTTTGCAAAGAGTAATAAATCAAATAGTCATAAGTAAATAAATTTAGATTTTTTCTCTGTTTAAACCTTAGAACGGACTACAGGCACCAAACGTGTTCCTCTACAAGGCAGGAAGAAGAAATGGAGCTATCATATATGCCGAGCGCAGTCAAAGATTTGTGCCATGACATGTGTCCAGTGAGAAATCCCACAAGTTGTGTGTAGCTTCATCTGCTCAGTGACAGTTAATACCTAGCTAGACCTTCATTGATTGAGGGCACTCAGAATTCCTTGATGTCTCCGAGAAAATAGTTGCAAAGTTTCTGGTGGTGGCTTCGAGAAATCAAGTGTCGGCTTTGGAATTGTCAGTAAAAGACACCTTACTCTCGCGGAGCTTGCATAGGTCTTTGGAAATTCAGTCTTCTTTATCGATTGACGGTCTGTTCCACTAGTGTTTAACTGACCCAATGAAGGTTCAATCATATAGATGAAGATCCGGCGGATCCCTTTCGGTGGTGAACCCCAAATTTGGCAAAGACCGGTTTATATTGCCAAAATAATGCCAAGGGTTTGGGGATCTTATCATCAACATAGAATCAAATCTTCAAACGTCTCCTTTCTATTTAGTTAAGATACCAACGCCAGTTTTGTTTCCGTTAACGGTAGGCACTTTTATGCAACCAATCTTGAGAAGAAAGTGCTTTTACCTAGGTGTGAGAGTCATTTAGAGTGACAAAATTTTTTTGATGATCAGCTTATTTGTCATCTCCCTGTCTCTACCGAACGCCACGGAAACAGTTCTACCCCATATGTAGTGTGTACTTGGTATCGAAATTTGTATGTATTGATAAATACAGAGTATGAACGAGTATAGGTTTTTATACAGCTTTACCTTTACTAGTACCATTACCATTTCAACTGCTATTACCATTACCACAATCATTAATATTACCATCACCACTACCATTACCATTGCCATAACCATAGCGAGTAACAATACCATTACCGTAACTAACACCTTACTATTACCATTACTAGTATTACTACAATTCTTATTACTATTAGCAGTACCATTACAACTATAATTACCAAGACCGTTAACATTACCATTGCCATTACCACTACCATTATCACTATTGTTACCATTACCATAACTATTAACATTACTATTATCATTACAATTGTTATTAATATTACAAACACGATTACAACTACTGTTACCAGTACCATTAACATGACCATTTCCATTACCATTACTAATCATTTTATCATTACCACTACCATTGCTAGTACCGTTAACATTTCCATTGCCATTACCATTACTGTAACCATAGAAATAAAAATATTCTTGATGTTCGCATTTTTTCTAAAATTTTGTCAAACGTCTCCTCCAATTTGTGGTATGTGCCTTAAAGTCAAGGACGTATCTAAGTTATAGCACTGCCTACTAACTGTGAATGGTTTTTATGAGAAACTTTTCCATAACAAAAATACACTTGAATATTTTCCTTTGGCCATCGAGCGGCGATTGCTTTGTATAAGAAAAACCTTCGTCGGCTGGACAAACCGAGGTGCACACCCAAACTAATTTCATGAATATGTAGTAGTAAAAATGCTGAATATTTGATAAAAAATAAATACTTATAAAAATAAAGTAAAATGAATTTTGCATCTAAGTTTGTGCAACCACAAAACTTCAAATTAATTTCCTTTATAAGTTTAGAGCCTTTGCTGTCGTACTCTTCTCCTCTATTTATTTTTACAATTTGTTGACTCTCCTGAAACGGTCAGCGACTCACTGTTCATAAAAATAAACTCCTCTGTACGCTCCATCCCATTTTTCAACTGGGTGCTACACTTTACATTGCTTCAATGAATCTGCCAAAGCGTCACCTTCGGAACTCAGTTATATTGTTGTGTTGTTAACATTTGTGCCATTTGCAGCTACGTACGCGCGCACGAAAACGTTTACAATTTTCTGAGTATTTTCAATATGAAATTTCTCCTTTTAAAAGTTAACACAACCACGAAGCGATATTCCCTCCTCCTCCGCCAGATGCTAGTTGCTATATACCAGCTGAAGCTATGGCGGTCATTCGAAGTCATGCCATTTTCAGCCTCGGGCAGGAACTCTGCTGCAGTACAATTGCAATTTCTTTAAAGCACCCAATGAAGCAGCGCCACAAGTATGCATGTGCAAAAACCCAGAAACAAGTGAGCGACGCGCGCAGACAACCAGAGCCGTACGTGACTACAGGAAAATCTAATAAAGTTGTGCGACAATAAATTATTTATCTCTTCTTCGTTGCACGCCTTGGACGTCGCCTGTGGACTCCCACACTCGTATCACTCGCAGTTTGCAGTGTTTAAAGCTCCTGCCTGCCTGCCACATCTTCTTCACCGCTGTATTCCCTAGCTGGTTGTGGGGCGGTCGTGTGCGTTTGCTTTTTATAACTGTACTTTACTTAGTACCCATACTCTACATCCACCGGGGGCGCGCGTAACTTTTGAGATATTTCATTTAAGATTTTCAAATCCACAAGCGCATAGTTGCCGTATGGACACTTTCATATTCGTATTTATGGGAAATAAATATTTATTTTAATATCTGCATCCGCAAAGGATGCAAAAAACTTGAATCTCTTTTGCTTTAAGGTGATTTTTAGAATTTTCATTGCGATAAATGGTGTATTTCTTTGCTCTTATGCGCAGGTACTCAACTCCAGAATCACTTCGAATGGGCTGGTCAGCACCGTAACATATCTGCCACAAACTGACTCCGAGCTGATAACGCTCGCCTGCTGGGCCAGCAACTCTGTGGGACGCCAAACAACGCCATGTCTGGTGCACATTCTACCAGCAAGTAAGTGAAAATCTAAATACTTAAATATGTATGTAAGTACGTATGAAATAATCTGCCCAAAAGCTCTATAAATGCATTCAACCGCAATCAAAGCCAACTTCTTATTAAGCTCACTGGGCAGCCAATTCGATGTGTAAATGTTTAAATGCAGCAAAACCAGTGCGGATTTCGCCGTTAGAGACGAATCCAAAACCAAATGCGGATCAAGGGATGAAAATTCCGCTTTATTTTGAGAGCGCCACAATGTAATACTTTGAAATTTTCGGTTTCTACTCACTTTTCTTTTCCCAAATTGCAATTTTCCCACTCAACGACACACAGTCAACCACAACAACAACAACAACGATATATTTGCCATCGCCATTGGGGCATTTGTTGAGTCGCACGAGCTTGTGCAAGCACTTAGCCAATGAGCAATTTAAACACTCCATAAACGGCAATTGAGGTTTCAGCAGAGGTAGTTGTAAACACACTCACTGCCGATTATACTTAGACGAATGCTTATTTTTGTAAATACATAGTATCTTTGTGGGAATTTCGAAGGTAAGTGCTTAATGCAGCAAAAACTAGTACATTAGAAACCAGTTGAATTTTCAATATGTAGAGATATTATTACATATGCTGGCAGCAAAACAAAAGCAATTAGCTCGATAGTGGGAAGGGAATAGCAAAATAAAATGTAACGGTACTTTAAAAATTTTAAGATTGATAATTTAGGAAAAAGTAGAAAAAAAGAGTTATGTTGACCTTTAGCAGGACCTTCCAATCTTAAAAACTTTAAACTTTTTTGTGTTTTTTTTTTTTTTACTTGAAACCAATACTTCTATATCACTGTGCGACAGTAAATTCTTTACTCACAAAAATCAGTATATTTATTCGTGAAACCATGTGCCAAGTATACTAAAACTGCGTTTTTAGTTTTTCTCTCTGACGATAGAATTTCTTTTAAGAGGACATTGAAATTTTAAAAATTTGATAACTTCAAAATATTATTTAAAAAAACGCAGTGCATGTTGAAAAACAGTGTGGGTATCACGGCGTTTTCACTTTTGCGGCATAAAGCCGATTAGGTATTGATAACGTCCTTTTAAAATTGTATCCTTGCAATTTAGCAAAAATTATTTTTGAAAAAAATATACGATCACACCCTCGAATTTCATCCTACCAACTTTATTGGCTCAAAAAAAGTAAAATGAATAAAAGTGGCATGTTTCATCGATTCATGGGTCTGTGTTATTTTTAAGTCCCATTATTGCTGTTTTCCCTATACATCGGCACTCGCGCCACCTGTGCCCCTATTCGAAAGCGTTGAGAAGTATTCTCTCCAAATCCCACGTGTAATCTGGACGTCAGTTAATTGATTTTCATCTTCGTCTTTGCAGAAATTAGCGCCACGGTTTGACACGGTTTTATTTATAGCTGTCTATTTTTTGATAAAATTTTGTTAAAATATATGGAAAGCTTAGAAGCAGAAAACAAAATAAACACATATTTTATGTATTTTTTCGACCAGTGTACCTAAATGTATCCTAGAGGCATTAGCAATAAGTTGCTAGAAATCATATGTACCAAAAACTTTCCTGCAAGACAATTTACACTTCATAAATGTATACATCGGATATGTACCTTGTGCATATATTTGAGTAGACAGTGCGACTCGTGATTGTAAACATGCAAGTTGTGCGTGTATTCATTACATACTGGTTCGATTGGCATCCATACACATACATATGAACTTATAAACATATTTACATTGTATGTATTTACTACATACCTATATAGAAACATATATACAATAAGTAATTAATTATAACTTTAATTTCTTTGCAGATACACCGGAAGCCCCGAAGGCTTGTGAGCTGCGCAACGACACTGTCTTGGAGGTAGTTTGTGTGGCTGGCAATGATGGTGGGCTCACTCAATATTTCCTGCTAGAAGTGATTGGTGGCGATCCACTGTATGCCAACGATGCAGGGCGTAGTTTTGCCGACGCTAATGTAGGCGACAATGAGCTCTCCACAATGAACGACCAGGTATGTAAGCAGATTACATATGTATTTACCAATTTACATGCGATTGTGTGCATTCCACATATATACTCACTTACATACAGAGAGGGTATGATTGAGTGCAAGTGAAGGCAAATATTGCAAATTATCTTCATTCTCAATGGCTTTGTAACCAACCAAATAGCAAACAAGTTGTGTATGTATGTACGAGTATTTAGCCAACGAACTTCATTAAGAGCAGAGAGTTTGTGCATGTGAGTGTATGTTGCGTATGTGAAATTTTTTAAATTTGATGGGCATCTTAGATGTGGAAATTGATGACTTATGCTTAAATGAATTTAATCAGAGAAACTCTATATATTTCATATTCGAAAACTATAGTAATATATAGGTCTTCTCGCACTGGGAAATACTACAATTGAATTGTCAGTGTCAGTGCCATTGAATAGTTATAGCCATACATTCGGCTACTAAGAAGTTGAAAATCCAATTATGTTGAATATTTTGTAACAGAACTTAGTTGCCTCACTAGGAACGCAAGATATCTTTTGTTTCCTTCATGATAATTATTACAGAGTTTTAATGAAATCCGATTATTGCCTTAGTTTTACCGAAAATTGGAATTACGATCGAAATTGCCTCGCTTCCGCACCCATTAGCCATACAAAAACAAAGTTTAGTTAAAATCTGACAAAATTTACTATTCGTTGCAAAAATACTACATAAGCAAATTTCAGCGAAATTGGGGCATGATTACTATTTTTGGCAACAGTTAATAAGCGAACCTGCCTTGTGAATTATTCAGGCTGTGGAAGATTAACGCCCCTGAAGTTTTTGTTGTTGTTAAACTTGAGCGTATCGAGTACTTTCATACTAACTTAACATCCACTAAAGAACACCGGAAGGTACTTCCTTCTGCTCTTTAAGAAGTTATTAACAATTCTTATTTATTTCTCCGTATTTTATGAATATGTATATGTATGTATAAATATTTTTAGAAAAACCTTTGAATACCACCGGTTAGGTAATTCGCAGAAAAAAAAACTTAATTCAATATGCTGTTTGCAGACATTGGGGTATGTGGTTTTTCTGCCATTTTTAGAGCACTGCGGGCCATTCCCATTCAAATATAACATGAATAAAAAAAATAAAAATTATTAGAATTTTGGGTGTACCGATGGTAGACAAAATAGCCTACTTGGCTTGAACAAATTCCATTTGCTGCGTTATGTAGATCTGATTGAAATCAATCGGTCTATTTTCATACATAAATATGTACATGCATGTCCGTTTTCCCATTTTCATATTTTTTTATAAAAAAAAATATTTTATGAAATATCCTGGATTTCTAATTTCAGAAATTTTACACCAAAATGTTTAGTAGTTCCGAAATTCATGTTCCTCGAGTAACATACAGGTGTACAATTTGGTATAAATTTGTGAATTTCGGTACAAATCTGATTGAGTTGTACCAAAACTCATAAATTTACACCAAGTTTTTTTTTTATATTGATATTCATATTCATATCCATATTAATATTCATATTCATATTCATACTCATATCCATACTAATATTCATATTCATATTCAGCATATTGAAATTCATAATTTTTAAGAAAAAAGAAAAGAAAAAATTAATTTCAGTTACTTCTAGTGCAAAATTTTAGCCAAATAAAAGGCCATTGTTCACAAAAGCACTACATTTTGTTGCCTTTAATACTATGAAGTTGTTGTGTACTAAATTTGTTGTTCAACCTATTGCACACACAACGATTAGTTACTCATACGCCCCATCCGAATGTCCACTAAATGTTATGAAGAACAATTGCATAAGCGCTTCGTCATTCAATTTAATTCAATTAGCTATGTATGTAACTTCATAAGTTCACAAATACATATGTACATACATGTGTAAGTATGTATGTCCGTAATAATTGCACACATGAGTGAGTTGGCCAACAATTATGACTATCCGCCTGCCAATTCAAATTAAAAAGAACTTTGTAATTCATACGGTCAATTATCGCTCAAGCGGACCCAAATGACTTTCTGCTGTTGAGTATGTTTGTAACAAACACCATACACACAAGCACAAGCGTATATGTACATACACTTGGTAAATGACAGCTAGGAATGCTAATGTTTTGGGCCTTTGCCATTGTCAGGGTCAGGGTAATGCGAAAAATGAATAGCGAGATGTGAATTGCTTATTGGTTGCCATTTGCAGATACTCACATGTACTTATACATATGTATGTATGTAACCCTTGCTTCCGCAAGTGCCACATTCCAACACATTGAGCCAGAGTGATGGCAATAAAAAAACAGCAACAACAACGTTATCTTAAAGAAATGTAGCAATAACGTTATCGTCCTATTGCTGTTACGCAACTATTATTAGCTTCATAGTTTTGCTTCCACTCGAAGAACAGCGAAGAAACAATAAAGCGTTTTTTTTTAATAAGCCAAACAATGCATTGAACGAACAAACCGATGCGTGTTTCAGTTCAACGTGAAGTGAAGCTCCCACCAGTCGATGGTAAGGGATGCACGTGCTCACAAGCTCAACAACTCACAGCTTTATGGAATAAGTAGAAGAAAGCGCTTCACTGATTGCCAGTTACAAAAGGGACACACAATAAATTACTTCCACTTACTTGAGTGGGAATTTGTGCGTAACCGTTTAAAGAGACCGAACCGAGTAGCTTTTTGCCCATAACCTCGCTACCGTCGCTATCAGCCTGGCGGCGGCCAATCGAGCCAGTTGAAGCAATCGACAAATCTTTGTTGTAGACGAACAGTAAAGCAAATTGCAACAAAAATTTGGAAAATGAGGTGGTGAAGAAGCAGGAGAACACAACGTAGAATATCTATAATGTAAACAACAACAACATAGATACAGTGCAAAGTAAAGTAACTGTAATACTCGTAAAGGGAAGCGCAGTCAATGGCTAGACAAGAATCAACAATAAAGCCATGGCTAAGAACTTCCAAAGATATTTCGAACTTTACAGCAAACGCGATGCTACCGAAAGTATAGCTTACATACATACATACATACACGTGTACTAACTGTATATATCACCATGAATTCCCAGCAAAAACTTTGATTCTTTGGTAAGCGCTTACTTTTTGTATCGATGGGAGTAACGCAAGACAATATTTTTCACTTTCTCGTAGGTAACGTGTTCTGTAAACTAGAAGGTGAGTGCTGAATCTCGATTAGTAAGCGCTTTTCGAAATTCACCACATGACTTCTAGTTTAACCTGGGCATGTCATTGGAGGTTAGCGGAAATTTGTAAAAAATTTTGTCGATACAAAAAGTAAGTAAGAAAAGTTTTTGCTGGGTTGTAGTATGCTTGCGTATGTGCATTAAGGTGGTACTTAAAACTCAAATGAACGAATTTTCCAGTCTCACCCCTTCAATCGGTAATACGACGGTCACAGATGTCAAACATAAATTTTGGTCTCGATTGGAGACGGTTAAGTCTGAACGTTGCCTCCTGTGCGACACGCCTTAGCCGTCTCCAATCGGGACCAAAATTTTGTATTTGATATCTTTGACTATAGTAATATCGACGAAGGGGTTGAAGCTTAGCAAATCGGATGTAAAAATATGCTTCCTACAATTAAGAACCGCCCTAATGTGCATACATATATTTGGCGTGCGTGTTCGTATTAGCGTATTCGAGATATTTTCGGTCATATATTTTTTATATGTACGGGATGTGCTTATAAATTATAGACGCACAGACAAGTGGTCAGTTAGGCTCCTACTGGTCAAAAAGGAAAACAACACATCCACTTATACTTATTACACTAAACAAACTCAAGTTGTTCACTAACATACATACATACAACCATACATATAAACGAAAGATAAGAGCAAAGAATTTTGATAAGACCAAGCCTAATCTGTAAAGAAAATAAGAAATCTGCAAAGAAAAATTGCGAAGATCTGCATTGAACACAAAGTTTATAATGGAGTTTGCAAGGATGATTAATTGTTTGGGAAACTTTTGCAACTTGTTCGATTATTGCTACTTGCTTTGCCTGCCAACTATTTATGTATGTGTGTGCGCTCTTCTTGATGTTGTATTTGCTACTTTCTTCCACATTCTGCCTTACTTTTCTCTACTTTCTTTAGCATTTTAGTGTTGAAACTCAGTTGGATGTTATGGGCTAAAAAAAAAATAGTTCATTTAAGTTTTTCGCTCAAAGATTATACGACTTTGGGTTAAAGTGATTCGACGAGCTTGGCACTAATAGATATTTTTTTAGTTAAGAGCGATATGAAGAATATGCAAATTTCGCATACATAAATCAGTTTACGCAAATAACCAATTTCTATATACGGGTACATACATACGTTTACTCGGAAATCTTGTAAAGCTCCAGCACCTAATCGCTCAGAAGTGAAGGCTTTTTACGAGTGGAGATTACTGAATGAAATTTTAAATAAGGAGAATTTACAAGTGTACGGCATGATATTTAGCTATGGACTCCTAAATGAATCATTCGATTGCTATGAAAGTTTGGTGGAGGTGTTGCGTGTGTACTCATTACGGTTCGTGTGTTCATTAGGAATCGCTGGGTGGCGCTGGAGTCGAGATATTTAGAAAATTCATACTAATGCACCGATTTCATTGAAACTTATCCTTTCGATAAAATATAATTTTGCAAAAAAAGGGCACCGTGCAATAAAGCCATAGGAAATAATGCCATATGGGCGTTTCCAACGGAAATTATACCGAGAAAAAAATAAAAGCCCTATGTCTAACATACTTATAGGCCGATTTGGCTGCTTTTTGTAATAAATATGTACTGGTTATGTAAGCAAAAATATTTTTGCCAAAACTGGTTTCGTTAGATGGCAGATATTTGGTAAGGACGTAATTATGATCTGGCATGTTTAGTTAAGACTTAGTAAGATATGGACAATTTAATGGTGGCACTGTAGTTAGAACAAAAAGTATATTAGACATAAAATACACGTTTTCTTCCTGTTAAAAACTTCTTTAAAGAACAGTATTAACAAACATTTTTTTAATGGTAATTTTCAGTAGCAGCGGAGCGGGGTATGGGCTTTAAAACCCATGTTAATTGTTAGCATTTACTATATAGGCAAATAATTGTTTAAGAGCTTTTTTTTAGTACCCATAGATAGCAATATTGTGTCTTAATTTTCTAAATACAGAATTAATAAACAATAGGTGGCAACGCTATTAAAAAAAATTTTTGCATTTCTGAATTTTTTTTAATAATTTCTATATAAGAATATATCATTCTTTCTAAGCATCGGCTCTAAGGTCTTTTATAGCGTATTGTGTAAAACACCGTATTGAAAATACTTGGACTATAACAAAGTGGCATGAGATCTGGCGAATCTAAAGAAGACCAGATATTCCATATGTCAAATATGGGAATGAACTCGCGAAAGTTAGACGTTTGAACTTCGTATCGCTGCGAAACGAATATGACTATGTAAATTTGTTTTTTTCTGAGTTATTTGTTAGCAAATTTTTACTTGTTCTTGTCCCTAAAACTCTTACATTTCTCTTCTACTACCTTGCATAAATATTTGCCAGCAAAAAGAAAACACACTTCAGCCTAAAGCGAAAAGGCGTCTGTGGTGACATTCTTACGCATTTTACTTCAAGTTAGTGGAATCCTTTTGAGCTATTGTTGTCAAGAGTTTTGAATAGTTTTGCTCTGCCGAAAATGGCAAGTGGCTTTGTTAGAATTTGCGGCAATAGATTTTAAAAGCTGTCACACCCAAACTGCTGTCATATTTGCCGATCGGTTCAGCAATTGAAATGGACTTCCGAATCATAAATTTATTACAAATATTTTCCGTGGCACTTTTGACTGTAGTAAAAGGAAAGTTTTCAGATATTTTTGTCTTGAGCACACAGACTGCTTGCCGCGAAAAATGGTCCATCGCACGCTTTGCCGCACTTCATCCTACATTTGTTACATTTTCTTATCTATTCCAGTTCGAATTTGCCTGGTACTCTTGTACTCTTGTACTCTTGTACTCTTGTGTGTGAATGTGTGTATTCATGCTTATGGCTATGTGTTACTAGCAGATTTACTTTTCTTTTTAACTGGCATATTTTGCATACTTTTAGGCAACGTCAGCACCGGTACTGCGCATGCAAGAACCACAACCACAATTTCGCCTCAACAGCTTGGAGCCCGGCCGAGAATACCAATTTTTGGTGTATGCCGTCAATGCGAAGGGACGCAGTGAACCGCCAGTTGTAATCGAGCGAGTGCGAGTAGCGGCACAATTGGGGCCTTACGGTAAGTTGAATTCAATAAAATTTTCTAAGAATTTTCAGAGGTACATATGCATGTAAGTATGTATGTATCTATACGTGGGTGGACGTCATTGTTACAGAAGTGAATATCATAAAACTACTTCTATTTGATAAGCCGTTCTTTTTGTGGTAATTTTCCTTGACGACTCGGCAACTTTTTAAATTGGCACCGTTTCCACTTAACTGAATTCGCCCACTCTGATCACATGTCAGTACCAATTTTTATCCTTCGTAAATATATCTGATGAATGCGTACGGTTATATACCTTTTTATACACATTTATTTATGTACATACTCCGGGTGTATGTGCGATATTTGGCTCCTAAAGTAGGTATCTAGCATTTGTTCTAAAGCTCCTTTTCATTTGCTCATTTATACGCCTCACAGTATGCCATTTGGGCGTATTGATAGGCAAAATCTTAAATATCTCGATAGGAAGAAGATAAAAATATAAAAATATGTGGGTTTGGAAGCTGACTTAATAGCCTTCAAAGGAATAATAGTGCCATTATGTAATCATTATATTCAATGAACTTTGGAACAAAATAGTAATTTGCTGGCTTGCTACAACAAAAAATTTTGGTTTTTGATTTTATGGACCTTTCCTGTAGATTTTCAACCGCAGAATTAAATTGCAAAATGCATCTAAATTTTCAAATTTTTAAACAGAATTTCCCGAATTTTTTGAGTATGCAATTTTTGTAGCCCATTAAATTTTAGTAAAATAAAGTGCAAGCTCCCAGTTACTAAAAAAAGCGTTTATTTATGATCCTTTTTCCTGACTGTATAACGCATTTTTTCATACAAAAAAAATTGTCGAATATTCTTTGTATGGAAGGAAATGCATTAAAAAAAATTGCGCAAAAGCAACGCATTTTTTGGCAACAAAAGTTTACTACGACTTATATAAATGACCTTTGTAAGTATGATTTAAAAAATATAAGTCAGTGACTGATTTTGATTCATGACTTTAAATATATAAAAGTCTTCGATAGCTGTTATCTAAGGCATATAATTTAAAAATCAAAAATAACTGTTATTGGTTAAAAACAAAGTTTGTTCAAAAGGAGCCTAAATACCGCTTAAAGGTGCATTTTGCACTGTTTATAATAAATTGTTACCCGGGATAAAGTTCCTGTCAATTTTTAAACTCCTTTCGCATTCTGTGGGTTTCTTGTAACCGGTGAATTTTGTTACCACCTTATGGTACATTAATAAAAATATATTTTGTACCGTAAAATATGCAATAAGAGAATTTCTACAAAAATCGATAATTGCATTGCTGACTATACTGACAACATTACCCAATGCATCTGGAATCGCGGCTATAAAAATCACAGAGTAAAAATGTTTGTTATTTGGGAGCGGGCAAGTTAAGCCAGTTAACAAACACCACTTGGTTTATCATTTCATTTTTAATGTATAAAAGGTTGACTATCTTCTTAAAGCAGTCCATGTGCTTTTTCTCTCGTTCATATCTTCAATCCACTAAGTATTATTGTATCTGTGCATATTTGTATGTATATATGTATGTATATATCTATAGATACAGACAAAAATGATGCCACAACTCGCAGCCGTATTTTTTGTTTTTGCCATTACATCAATTTGTATCTTGATTGCTGCTTTATCGTTATTTTATGAGTTGTGTCTCTAGCGACGCCATATTTCTTATGGCACTTATTTTGCTGTAAAAGTATTACACCTACAATTGTACGTGTATTGGTATTAATACATGCACTGCAAAATAATATATTTAATGGTGTGTTAGACCACTGCAAGAATTTTCGCAACAAGTCTCTGAAGAGAGTGGACCCGGATTTGTCTCCATAGGT